ACTCAGGCAGCGGCTCCGCGGCGGTGCCGCCGTGGGTTAACGACAAGCTGGAGGCCCTGGCAAAGGAGTTGGCCAGCACCAAGGCCAAGCTGGCTGAGACCACCAGCAAGCAGCACGCGCCGTCCATGGAGGTCGACGAGGGCGCAGAGCACTGTGAGGGCCAGGGTGACTCCTTGGACCAGAAGAGGGCGCGCCTTGAGGAGGTCGACGCTGCGCTGCGGGCCATCGCCGGCTCCAGCGAGGTCCTGTTCGAGACGGCTCGGGTCGAGCTGGAGGACACTCGCAAGAAGCTCAGCGCGGAGCTGGCCGCTGCGAAGCCCGTCCCAGCGCAGCTGCGCACCCTGTCCTTCAAGCTGGGCAAGCTCGAGCAGAAGCGCGCCAAGCAGGAGGAGGCCCTGCAGGCAGCCAAGGACAAGGTCGTGCAGGCCAACAAGGAGGCGGATGAGGCCACGCAGCAGCTCGCCGAGTCCGACGCGGCGATCTTGGAGCTCCAGCAGGAGCAGACGCGGCTCGCCGCCACGCTCCCTCGTCCACCAGCTGGAGGCGTCTCGCCAAAGGCTGACATCGTCGAGGGGCTCGGCGTCACCATCGAGAAGCTGGGCGCGATGTTGGCGGAGCTCGGCGACAGCGGGGTGCTCGCGGAGAAGCTTGGCGCGGTGCTGGGCGAGGTCCGTGAGTACGAGCAGCGTAAGGTCGAGGCCGCAGCGCAGGAGGCCAAGGCTGCGGCCGAGGCAAGGGCGACCCAGGCCAAGGCTGAGCCTGTGCCCAGCCAGGGCGCCAAGGAGTCGGAGGCAGGCCCAGACCTCCCAGACCCCGACACGGCGACCGAGGAGGAGCTGCGCGAGGTCCTCTCCAGCTCGGGCGTGGACCCGTCCCAGGAGTGCGAGGAGCTCCGCGGCCAGGTGCGCAAGATCACCGACGCGCTGGGCGGCTGGCGCGAGGTCAAGAGGGCCAAGGTGCTGTCTGCTGCCTAGCCTGCTGCGCGCGCTGCTGCTCCTGGCGCTCCTGCCGCTGGCAAGGGCATCTGGCACCATCGGCACGGTTGCCGGAGGGCTGGATGCCAATCCGCTGTTCGGGCAAGCGTCGGCGGCGGCAGGCTCCAGCCGCTCTCCCGCGGCCCTGGCCGAGGCCAGCGCTGCCCGCAGCATGCGGAGGGCCCAGCTGCTGGAGCGCGTTGGAGCGCGCGAGCAGGCCTTGACTAAGGCGAGAGCGCGCCGGCGCCGAGGCAAGGCCTCCAGCAAGGTCGGCCTGTCTGCGGCCGATCGAGACGTACTGCTTCCTCGACGAGCAGGGCAGGGGCCTGCTGCTGCCTCTGGCTCCCAGGCGGCTTGCTCTGCGGTCGGATCTGTCGGGCTTCAGGTTGGGAATCGCACCGAGGCTCTCGGCAGTGCAGCGGGAGACCGCAGCATAGCAGCGGGAGACCGCAGCGAGCCACCGTTTGGGCAGACTGGCCGAGGTGATGACGAGGCAGACCGCGGAGGCCGTCTGGGCGGCAACGACTACGGGGAGGTTTGCTCAGGCATCGGATCTGCCGGGCTTCCAGCTGGGACGACTGGCGGAGGTGATGGCAAGGATGACGCTTGGGGCCGCCCATTCCCCTTTTCTCACACAGGTGCAGATGAAGATGGTAATCATGTTCCTGACCGCAAGGGTTCTATTGTGACTTTCAATTGCTCTGAGGAGGGCCAGCTATTGCGCTTCCTCGACTCCTGCGAGCACACTGTGGTGGCTATACAAGAGCACCACGTCGCAGAGGATCGTCTTCCAGATCTGCAGCATCGAGCTCTGGACCCTGGCTGGCATGGAGTCTGGAGCTCGGCCACCAAGACGGGCAACCAGGAGGGCACCCAGGCGGGCCTGGCCATCCTGGCGAAGGGAGACGCGCTGGTCACGGCCCCCCCAGGGCGCTCGACGCCCCACATGGCGAATGGGAGAGCGCTGGCAGCCCACGTCCATTGGGGGGTGCCTGGAGGATTCATTGTGATTTCAACATATCTTTAGGTGAATGAAGGCCTCTCTGATAATAACGTTCGCATCTTGGCAGAGATCTGTGAATACATTGAAGTTGTCAACGCGATGGGTCTTGATTGGATCGTCGCGGGAGACTTCAACATGGAGCAGGCCGAGTTCGGAGACATGGAATGGTTGTATGGATTGGGAGGTGTGGTGACGCGCCCATCAGTTTCGACGTGCAGGCAGTCGTTGCCAGGCAGGACGATAGACTATTTCCTGATGACCACCAATCTGCTCCCCAGAACGTGCCGCCCGTATGTGCAGGAAAATGGAGACACATTCCCACACCTGCCAGTTGTATTACCTATCATGGGGAAGGATGTTGTTTTGAAGACTCGCACGTTGGTCAGCCCGAAGCGCCCTTCGAGACAGCCGAAGCCTGGGTGCTCTAGATACCCATTGAACTGGTGCCAGGTCAATCGTATTATTGATCAAGCGATTGATAATCCCACATTGAGTGCAGCATGGGACGCAGTCTTGGCACAGTTGGAGATTGAGTTGCTTGCCAGATATGATATTGTCGGATCTCACACTGAGGCTTACCGAGGCAGAGGCGGAGACACCCAAATGCAGTATGCTAAGTTGCGGTGGGAGCCGCCTAGGCGCAGAGGTGAGCAGACAACGCGAGACAGAGCTTGGAGAGCAGCAGGCCGATGGGCCCGCCATTTACGCCGCTACAAAGAGAGCCTTGTCAATCAGGCTGTGCTGCTATGCCATCAGGAGCGGGCGGGTACGATGTCCAGCAAGGCTTTCGACAAGTTTGCTCGTATGCTAGTGGACATCACCAAGTTCATGACAAGGATTCGCAACGATCCTTTACGCGACGCCTTGGATGATGATGCTCGGAACTTCTTCGACATGGACATCGGTTTCGTCACCAGTGGTCGTGCGAATGACATGATTGAGAGCATCATCGGTCGAGCGGACGAGTGCCAGAAGCGCCAGAATGACACAGCCTTGGCGCGTTGGCGAGAGTGGGCGGCTTCGTCGTTCAAAGGTGGAGGTCGTTTCGCACACCGTCACACTCGAGGCCGTGCTCTTCAGGAAGTTTGTGCTGCCTGCCTGCTCCCTGGTTCGGAGGCGCAGCCATTCAAGATGGCGGACAGAGCTATGCGAGAGTGGGACGCCATATGGCACATGCATGATCTTCCTGAGCCAGCACCTCACGCATCTGAGCAGTGGGACGACCTACCACATATATCCCTGGACGATATCAAGCGTGCGATCCTGCAGTTCCCCTGGACCACGGGCATCGGGCACTTCGAGTTCGCGCCCCGCGCGTTCTGGTTCGTTTCGGACGCCGGCCTGGAGTCGCTGGCGCGCTTGTTCATGCGATGTGAAAAGCTTCTGATTTGGCCGTCGTCTCGCATACTTACTCAGCTTGTGCGTATTCCGAAGTCCACAGGCGGCTGCAGGCTGATCGCCCTAATGCACACCCTCACTCGGATTTGGGGACGTGTTCGCCGTCCAACAGCGGTCGCCTGGAGCGTGACCACGCGCATCCCACGGTGTGGGGGACAGGTCCAGGGCGATCGTCCAGTGACAGCGCCTTCTCTTTAAATTTAGCTTCGGAGATTGCGCACGAATTGCGAGAGGATTGTGTTACTGTTTTCATAGACATGGTGAAATGTTATGAATGTGTAGACCTCCAGGCCCTCTTGAGGGAGGCCAAGGCCACAGGGTTCCCGCTCCGTCTGGCCTGGATGGCCATCCAGAACTACACCCAGCCTAGAGCCCTTAGAGCCTTCGGTAGTTTGTCGTACTCGGTTTCCACGGCCCAAGGGATCTTAGCTGGGTGTTCTCTAGCCACCACTCTGCTCACGGTGCTTCTGTATAGAAGTTTGAACCTGTCGGTGGAGCGATTCCCATCTGTGGAACCCAGGGACCTGATGGATGACGTGAGTTTTAACTGGGTGGGCAAACGCCGCCAAGGCAAAGATCCAGGAGAGAGCTCACATGTGCTTGCGCAGGCGGTTCAGTCTTTCTGCCATGATATTGCCCCCCTCGGATTGCGTGTGCAGGCGAATAAGAGTGGGTTTGTGGCCAACACTTGTGCCGCCCGTGACACATTCGCACGGCACATTTCGCAGCTAGGTTTTCGCAGCAAGCACGGCATGCGTAATCTAGGGCACGAGATGCACGGAGTCAAGGTTCTGCGGGTCCAAGAGAAGGCCCGACTTCGAGTCTTGCAGTCCAAGAGGCGTAAAGTCTGGGGGCTCCGTCAGGCTCAACCTGAGGCCGTCAAGGCCCTTTGGCGAACGGGGCTCCTCCCAGCAGCCAGCCACGGAGGTGGCGTTAGCGGTGTGTCCGATGTTTCTCTCCGCGAGCTGCGTACGTTTGCGGGAGGAATGGTAGGAGTCAAGCCCAAGTCCTGCCTCACTACCTATCTATGCACGCAAAAGGACGATAGGTTCGACCCTGTGTTCGATGCTTCGGTTCCGCTTGTTGTGAGGTTTGCTTCTTGTGTCTGGGAAGCCAGGGTCGTTCCTTCACGTCTTGCTCGAGCTTGGCTCGCGATCAAAGACAGAATTCAGCACAATCCAGCGTGGAAGTTTGCCAGGGGTCCGATTTCTTCGGTATGGTATACGCTCCTTCGGATAGGGTGGTCAATGTCAGGACCCACCACCTTAGTGAGCGACGAGGGCTGGCCCATCGACCTGCTCCGTGTATGTCCTCAGGACGTGCGCATTTTTCTGGAGCAGGGAATTCGAAGATGGCAGGTTGCGAGGGTCCTGGCCCATTTCCCCGACAACCAGGGGCACACTGTTTGGCGTCGTGCGCTTCGGAAATCAGTGCTTGCTCTCCGTGATGGGGGCAGTCGTGGGGCGCTGCGGTCCTTGTGGGCTGCGGGGGTCTGGACTCCTGAGCGCCTCCATTCGATTAATTTGCGCCCGACGCCGTTGTGTTTTGTGTGTAATGAGCAGGTCGGCACCGAGGCCCACCAGTGGTGGGGTTGCGATGGCATGCTTGAGTGTAGGCCTGAAGAAGCTTTGCCCGACGACGTTTTGGAGCACCGTGCCAGCTTGGTCAAGAGCTACCAGACAGACAATGGCAAGGAGGCTTTCTTTTTAATTTATGGGCTGCCGCCCTTGCCGCCCTTTCCAGAGCCAGTCGCCGACTCGCTTCCGACGATGGGGTGGGGTGACTGGCGGGGAGCTTGGGGGCCGAGGGTGTACACGGACGGGTCAGGCCTGGCGAATTCGATGGAAGGCCTGACGCGCTGCGGCTGGGCCGCGGTCCAATTAGATGAGTCTGGCTGTGTAGTCAGAGCGATCTATGGCCCGCTTCCAGGTAGGCTTCAGACCGTCCCTAGGGCGGAACATTATGCTGCCCTTCGAGCCATCCAGATTGCGGCGCACCCAGCAGAGATTGTGTCTGATCATCTCAGTTTGGTGAAGGCAGGTCGGCAGCTCTCTTCTTTGTGCGAATCAGGTGCTTCTCGGCAGGCGTCTACCTGGAGGCAGATTAGGCACGTTGTCGGACAGTCGGAGCCTCCCACCTTTCGCTGGACGAGCGCCCATCGTTCCCTGGACGACGTGCTGCCCCTAGGGGCGGCCGAAGTGTTTGATTTCGTCGGAAATGAATGGGCCGATTATTTTGCCAAATTGGGCTCGCAGTCCCATGCTGTTGCGCAGGTTCTCGTTGATGTGCACAAATCCAGATTGCAGGTCGCGCGTAAGGACGGTGAGGCCTTTGCCTGGATGGTCCAGGCGGCCGCGAGGAAGGCGGAGCAGCTGCAGCCAGCAGCCGACGCCCCTGCGCCCCGCAAGGCCCCCCCCGCGCCCTCGCTTGCTGTCACATCTCACACGATGTTGTTCTGTGCAGCTATCTCTGAATACAGGTGTATGTTGTGCAATCGTTTTGCTCGCACCACCCTGTCCTATCGTTTTTTGCGTAACTCGGCTTGTGCTCCCTCGGCCCTTCAGCGGGCAACTGCGGAGCGCTTCTTCCGTCTGACCCCCCAGCACTACGTGTCTGATTCGACGCCGTCGGTGCAGGTGGCGGTCGAGGCCGCAGGAGGCCCGCTACATGAGGAGGAAGGAGGGATGCTGCCTGCCGCTGCTGCTGCTGATGGGGTGGTGGAGGTGTGCACTTCTCTCGGACATCCCGCCGAACGATTCGGCCCCGCCGTTATCTGTTTAGCCTGCGGGGCCTTTTCGATTAATGGTGGTCGGAATCCGAAACTCACGGCGAAGGCCTGTAAAGGCCACTCTCCCGTGGCCTCAACGCGGGCCAGCGAGGAGAGCAACATTTCTAGGGTCCTCAGGGGCCTGCATCCCCGATCGGGCGTGCCCTTGTCGCTCGATTGATGCGTGTGCTGCGCCTCGCCACTCTCAGCCAACTTTCCCGCTGAGATGGTGGCCGAGCCTCGGCACATAAGAGCTGGGCAAGGGTGGCCAATGCCCCCTGCCTGGCTTCTCACGCTCCTGCTGGGGGGTGTCAGTGACCCTGACACTTCTTTCATCGCTGCCTGCCTCCCCCTACTTCTGCTCCTTCTCCTCCGTCACCTCCGCCTCCTCCCCCTCCTCCTCCTCCCCCTCCTCCTCCTCCTCCTCCTCCTCCTCCTCCTCCTCCTCCTCCTCCGCCTCCTCTTGCGCCGAACATCAAGTCACGTTCGCTGGTGGACGACATCGGCCTGCAGATGGCCTCCCCCGACCTCGGTGATGTCAAGCTGCGGCTGAGCACTGCGATGGTGCTCACTGCAGAGGCCAGGGACCTCGGGATTATCCTCCGACCTGCTTAGTCCGCGGTGGTAGCTGGGTCAGCGCAGGTCCGCCTTGTGGTGCATAGGGTCCTGCGGCGGATGCCTCGGGCGGTGCCCCAAGCCCCTTGGCCATGAGCTGCATGGCCCTCGTGTGATGAGGACGGTTGAGAAGAAG